CTTCTTCTTCTTCTTCTTCTTCCTCCTCTTCCTCTTCCTCTTCCCCTCGTCCTCCTCCTCCCTCCTCCCTTCTCCTCTTTCCAGCCCCTTCCCCCTTCCCCTTTCCTCCAGCTTACAGTTATAGTTGCGACAGATGGCAGCTCCAGCTACCCCAAGGTAACAGTGATTGACGTTCTTCTTCATGTCCTTCTAGTATGAAGGGATCGTTCCTGAAGAAGAAGAGGTTCTGGACACACCAGTTGAGAAGGAGATGACAATTGCGAATCTCATTGGAGACAAAATTGACATCATCGCCCCTGTGAATTCTCCTTCTCTGGATTTCAATGACAATGAGGACATTCCAACTGAACTCAGTGATTCCTCTGAGACTCATGATGAAGGTGCTTGGCTGGCATCCACAGGTGTCATGGTGGGGTTAGGGTTTATTGTCCTTCTGTGTCTTACCCATGTTCAGTACCATAGTTGACCCAGTTGACTTGGGTTTCCAAGTTAAAGAGTTCCCTGTCCCTTCATATTCAGCATCTCTGTATTCTCACCTTAATTTTTCTCAGAAACATGAAATCTTTTGTATTACTATTTCTGTGTTGAATTACTTAGGGAATCTGTAATTTTAGGTTAAGGGTTATAGGCTCCATGAATATTCTCATGGCAAATTCCATTGTAAGAATTAAGCTATAGAAAAGTTTGATGTTATTGAAGAAAGTTGAGTTGTGAAGAAGCATCTCGAATGGTAGCGTTCATAATGATGCATTTTTGGTGGGTCCTATTGTCCTGAAGACAGAGTGGTGTGGCGGCCTAGAAGTGGACCTCCCACCTTACAATCAGGAGGCTGTGAGTTCAATCCTAGGTAGAGGCAGATATTTCTCTCTCTGGGCACGATGAGTATATATCTGCTGAATATAACTCTGCATTGGCAACAAGAAGGGCATCTGGCCAGTAAGCACTCGGCTCCATTCCGTTGCCCAGATTCCACCCCACAAGAGATTATGGGGTCATTAAAAATGATGATGAAGATGTTATCCTGAAGACCTCTAAAGCTTTTGAATTTGTGGTTCACTTTTTGAACAGAGTTGGGCTTAGCTGTTTGGACCTAGACTTGTTTCACGTATTGGAGCATCCATGTTATATTTTTGTAGTGAGTTAAAATACTCTTTATTGCTTGACCAGGATAGGTGTCCTAGGAATCTGACCTGTTTAGCTTTACACTTTGTTCGTCAGGGGAGGTCCAGGCCTTTTATGAAGATCTGAATGGACGACAATACATGAATGAAGTCTTCAACTTTAGTGTGGATAAGCTTTATGACCTGCTCTTCACAAACTCTCAGTTCTTAAGGGATTTCATGGAGCAACGACGGTTTTCTGGTAAGCCCTCATCAGCCCATGCAGGAAGTCCTCAACTTACAACTGTTGCTTTTGTGACTGTTACAACAGCATTGAAAAAAAGTGACTTTTAACGACCGTTTTTCACACTTACGACCACTGCAGCCTTTCCATAGTCACATGATCAACATTTGGACACTCGGCAACTGACTCATATTTATGACAATTGCAGCATCCCAGGGTCACATCATCCCCTTTTGCGACCATCGGATGAGCAAAGTCAATGGGGAAGCCAGATTCACTTAACAGCCATGTCACTGATTTAACAAATGCACTGATTTACTTAATGAATGCAGCAAGAAAGATGGTAAAAGGGGGCAAAACTCACTTAGCAACTGTCTCACTTAGCAACAGAAGTTTTGGGATCAATTGTGGTCCTAACTCAAGGACTGCCTGTATACCGTAAGCAAACTTGTGTCAGGGCTCCGGCAGTTACCAACATTTAAATTATGAGTCTCGAGCCAAACAAACTTCCAAAACTTCAAAAGGATTTATTGGGAGTTAACATTCTGGCACTGCCTGGATGTAGCCGACTTGAGACACATCATTCATTGTCACCCTTGACCCTGGTTTCCCCCCGCATCCCCTGGGTGTATCATAATTCATATTCTCCAATGGGACACACCCATAGCCAAGAGTCATCAATCATGCTCTCCAGTTAGAATTTTGTGGCAGAAACTTCACTCACGTAGTTACTATCTTTGAAAACATTTATGGAATGCAGTTTCGGTTTTGCAAGCTGCCGCACTGCTCCCCACTCCCTTTCTGCTGGCAACTCTAAAAAGACCATGGAAATATTTTATAAGTTGACATTCGGCTCCCCTCACTTCCTGAAGGTGACAACACAAAAAGAAAACAAATTCATTGCAAGCATAGGACTTAGGGTTGTGAACCCCTTGTCTATCATCTGGCTTCATCTCACCCATGTTGGATTTCAAGCCCATTTTAGATACAAAAACAGTTTTTGACCTTATCTGCAAAGCTTTTAATGTTCTGTGAATGGACCAGGACTCTTCAATGTATAAACCTTTCTAACCTCCAAAATATAGCAGTTTTAAAGGTTTGGGTTCCAAAAATTTAGATTGGGATGTGGTGGTGGTGAAAATGAATCCTCCTAAAATTCATTTAAAATTTCTAAAAATCCCTGGCCCAAGCAACGATGAGTTCTCACTTCTTTCTGATCTTCCTGCATTGCCTAGTTCTCTTCTCGGATAATATTAGAAAGCTGTAGTTGTAGAAAATAGCCTTTTTCACCTGCAAGAATAAATATTTTTCCAGTTAACGCAATTAGCATTGGATTATTTCTTCAAGAAGCTCAAATTTATTGTAAAAGGGATTACTAGATGGGCTTCAGCGATGGAATCAGCTTTCTGTTTATTCTAGTGGATTTCCCAGAGAAATGCAATCCTCTGAGAAAGTTCAGCAAGTGGCTTAAAATCCTTTTAGGTTCTTTAAGTCCCTGGACACAATCAAAATTATTATTATTTTTAACTATCTACGGTCTTTGAAAATCCCATCAGGGCTTCTTTCATTTTGACTGAAGCAAATTAAAGTCTTTCAAAACACACTTAAGGACCATTGGAAAAGTGCTTTTTCAAGAGGCAACTGGACTTGGTTTTTCCTTGAAGACATTTCACTCGTCATCCAAGAAGCTTTTTCAGTTCTGGAGTTCAGTTCTTCAGAACTGAAGAAACTTCTCAGATGAGAAGCGAAACGTCTTCAAATGGAAACAAACACGAAAGTCCAGTTGCCTCTTGAAAAAGCACCTTTGGGATATAACCATGAGCTGGATGACAGAGAATCTCCACAGATTTAAAGACCATCTTACTCTTTTATTGACTTTCTTTTACTGATATCTCAGAACTTTCCAAATTTTCTTTTTTGTGTGTGTTACTTTGGCTGAACTTGAACAAATCGTGGGAGAAGGAAGAAGGAGAAAGAATTTGGTTTTGAATAAAAAATAAAATACAGCATAGATTGTAGACTTCGTGTAAGACTTTTTTAGATTCCTGAGAGTCGTATCAAATTTGGGAGGTATTTTTTTTGACTCTGGTGTCTTCCTCTTAATGCTGCCCTTCAATCTCTGGATCTGAAAGGGTTCAGAAGAAAGTCAGTCTTTACAAGAACAATCATCTATGGCTCAGCATCAGTTTTATATTTTTTAAAAAAGGAAGGACCAAGAATAGACCTTTGAATTAAATGGAACTGAGCCAAGTTAAGAACTCATGCTAAACAATAACGTCCAGTGTCTGTTGTGTTGAATCAGCCAGCTTAAGTGGTGGTGGGGTCATCAGCAACACTTGATCTTGGAGTTGGTCTTGGGAGAATATTCTTTCTTTCCCTTGGGAACTGAAGCTATATCGCCTTCCTTCTATGATGCAACATTCTCCCTTCCCTTCGCTTCCCTTTCTCCTTAGATGTTGTTTTTCATCCATGGAAGAAGGAAGACACTGGCAATCAAAGCAGAGTTATTCTCTACACCATCACTCTCACCAACCCTCTGGCTCCAAAAACTGCCACCGTTACGGAAACTCAGGTAAGAAACTCAGTTTTAGCCTTTGAAGTCTCTTGGTTTGAGGTCCTTCTTGAAATAGGGACCTTGTGTCCTCCTCAGTAGACCAAATGATGACCATTTATGGTGCTGCTTTTCTCTTCTCCCCAGACAATGTACAAAGCCAGCCAAGAAAGTGAGTGCTATGTTATCGATGCCGAGGTGCTAACTCATGATGTTCCTTACCACGATTATTTCTACACAATTAATCGTTACACATTGACGCGTGTTGCCAGGAACAAATGCCGACTCAGGTGAGTTTAAGTTTGATGGCTTCTGTCTGAAATATTTTGGTTGGTGTCTGTTTCTGTGCCTGGAACAATACATTTCTGACAGTAATTTTTGGTAGCTCCTGAGCCATTTCAGTAAAGATCGGGATAGGGTTTTTTTTGAAATCTCTGTAACTCAGCAATAAATTTTTCAAAGAAGCTACCATGTTTTCCCAAAAGTAGGACCCTGTCTTATATTTTTTGCCACCAAAAAAGGCACCAGGTCTTATTTTCGGGGGATGTCCTCCACCGACTAACCTCACTTAATTAGGGCTTATTTGGGGGGGGGGTAGGCCTTATATTGAGCACATGTGTAAAAATCAAGCTAGGACTTACTTTCAGGGTAGGTCATATATTGTGGGAAATGGTACTTTGGATAAAGATTTAGATCAGGGACAACAAACCTGGTGTGAAAATTTTTGCAGGGAAACAGATTTGAGCCAACTAAATCTGAATAGATACTTGGAAGATGTTGGCTTGTTTCTTACTAGCACCTGGACAGCCAACTTATAAGGAAACTACAGTGATAGCTTGGAAGGTCTTTGAGATGCTTTTCATTGCTACAATTTTTCATTTCAGGGTTTCTACAGAGCTACGTTACAGAAAACAGCCATGGGGACTAGTGAAATCCTTCATTGAGAAGAACTTTTGGAGCGGTCTTGAAGACTATTTTCGCCACTTAGGTGAGAGGCTGCAGAGCCTATCCAATGGAATTACCTTCTTGACCTTTTCATTCATGGAATTGGACTTGTTGTTGGAGTCAACGCTCAATCTCCAGATCATGGTTGTCCAACCTTGGCAACTTTAAGATCACCTATCTTAAAGCTCCCAGAATGACTTTAGCTCCCAGAATTCCCCAGTCAGCCATGGTTGGACACTCGTGCACTAGATAAATCTGGAGACTTCTTAATAATTCTACGTTGATAAATAAGAATTCATATTAAGATTTTAGCCCTGCAGTCTAATACATCAGCACTTTTTGAAAAGAGATACGTAAGAACTACCAAAACAAGGAATTATTCAAGGTCCTTGTCAGAACAGAGGAATCACTACTACTCTCTTGAAGTACTAATGCTGGTCCTGACCTAGCAAATAGATCAGTAGTTTGTCACTGAGTCTGCAGGTTCTGATTGAACCTGGGTTTTGCCTCCTATGGGATTTGTTAACAACCTGCCTAACAAAAGTCATGTTTTTGTTAAATTTAGGTGGAAAAACAAAGAACGTGTAAGCGTTCAGAATGGTGCTCATTGCATCTTAAATTCCTTCCTCCCAAGTCTTCCAAACATTAGGTTCTTCCCCGTACAGTTGGCTTCACTCATTTGCAAGATACCTCCAAGCAGGCCCTGATTGTTGATGCTTTTTAGAATGTCACCGTCGTCATCATCTTCTTTTAATGACCCCATAATCCCTTGCGGGGTGGAGTCTGAGCAACTTAATGGAGTTTGCAGAGTGTTTTAACGGCCGGAGGCCCTTCCTGTTACCAATGCGGCAGAGTTTTGTTCAGCAGATAAATTCTCAGGGTGCCCAGAGAGAGAACTGGAATATTGTTGTCTTACCTACAAAATAATTGTCTCCTCTCTAGAGTAGAGGTTGGGAAGAGACCACTGCCTTTTGACCAAGCTGAACTATTCCTCTTCTTCCCTTGTTCTCTTCTTTCCACCTGGCAGAGAGTGAATTGACCAAAACCGAGAGTTTGTATCTAGCAGAACTTCATAGACAGTCACCCAAAGAGAAGGCGAACAAACAATCCTCAGTGCGGCGAAGGAAACGACCCCATACACACTTGAGGGGGCCTCATCTGGAGGAAGTACTGAGTCCTGTTACCACTCCCACAGATGAGGAGGTTGTAAGTCGAATCAAGCGTGTGGCAGGTATGATGTGAACAGTTGCAACAGATGAAGTGTGGTTGGGATTGATGGGACAGAAAGAGATATAACAGTATGGTTTCATCGAGGGTGTAGCACAGGCATCTTCAGTGGTAAACTGAATCATACTTCTTGGAAGATTATATATCTAAAGCAAAGTTGAGACACCTCCAGTTCATTGTCTACGGAGATTCTCAATCATCCAGGTCATGGTTGTCCCAATGGTGCTTTTCCAAAAGGCAACTGGACTTCCTTGGGTTGTTTCCCTTGAAAACATTTTGCTTCTGAAGAGCTGAAGAAGCTTCTTGGATGATGTTTTTTCTTTTGGAGAAACAGCTTTGGGACTCCAGTTCATTGACCAAGTCTAATCCCTCACTTGGCTGGTGTGGGAGATCAGTTGATTTCCAACCCTAACGACAAACTTTTTGAGAGCAAACTTTGTTTGGTTTCCATTTAGTAATTTATCTTTGTTCCTTGGCAGTTGAAGACAGTTTGTCCTTGCTCCCTGGCCTGATTCCAGGGTTCCCTTTTTTCTCCCTGTTCCACTCTAAGAGCTACTGTCGGGGTTCTGACTGATGAATATAACCAAACTAGCACTGTTGGGACAATCCGATCCCTTAATGCAATATTGAGTGCATTATTTTGGCACAGAATGAAAGCAAAACCAGCTCTGGATAATTCCTGGGCAATTCAATATAGTTAAAGTATAGAATCCTCTCTCCCTCCTATTAGTGCAAGTCACACTGTTCAATGGAGCATCACAATATTGTTATGAGAAGAGGTCTTGAATGTCTGGCAATCACCTGCTGACTCGACCTTGGTTCTCACGGCTTGACTGCTTACAATCCACATTTCAACTCCCCTTCCCCCTCCCCCCAATAGTTAGTTGGCAAGCTGGGAAGCAGTAAAAGTGAAAGCAGCCTGTAAATTTGAAAGCTTGACAGTTATGTGAGATAGATCTTCAGTATGCTTGAAGGACAGCCTGAAGTTGTGCCTTGCAGAACTTAGCTTTGAGAGGATGGGGAAAGAATGTCCACTCTAAGTGTCTCTTCAGTCAACCACATCTGCTCCTTTTCAGGTTCCACTCAAACACGGCACATCCCTGAAGAAAGTCCCAGCAGCTTCCATTTGCAGAATGTGTCCAAATTACTGCTTGTTATTAGTTGTGTGTAAGTAACTCCTTACCCTGGCTTAATTCCTTTCCCCCCCTTTCCTTCTGCAATGGATTTGTGATGAGTTTCATTCCTGGTCTCACTCTGTTTCATTTCACAAGCCAAGGCTACCAAAAAGGCAAGTCTTATCATCCTGGTTGTGGATAAGCCAATATTGATTTCACTCCCCGTGGGTCTAATTTGAGCGTCTTTTCAAACTCCAGCCTCCGACAGCGTTCACCTGCTGGTACAAAATGTCCCAGCAAAGCATCGTCGGAAAACGTTATTGTCTTCATGCTTGCCCATAGATCGCCAACAGAACCTTGGCTTACCGCCTTCATTTTCGCACCACACCTTAATTGTTTTTACTGCTCACACATTTTTATTACCTTGATTGCTTTAATGTTTTCGGCTTTTTACATGCAAATTGGGAGTTAGTTGGTCTGAGTTTGGTGGCAGAGACTGGAATTAGAGGAGAACATGTAGAAATATAAATGGTCTACTTACACCAGTGATGGCGAACCTTTTCGGCAACAAGTGCCCAAACCAGAACAAGCATACATGTGCATGTGCCAGAGCACCAGAAAACTGAATACCATCTCGCCGGTGCATGCATGCCTGTTTTGGCTGTTTTTCACTGTTTTCAAGCTGTTTGGGGGGCCATTTTCAGGCTGTTTTTCAGGCCATTTTTTAGACCATTTTGGGGCCAAACATGCCCCCAAAACAGGCTGAAAAAGGCCCCCAAACAGTCTGTTTTTGGGGTGATTTTCTGGCTGTTTTCAGGAGCTCCGATGCCCACGAAGACCAGTTGGCCGGCGCCGGAAACCAGAAGAACAGCTGGAGACTGCGTACGTGCCCACTGAGAGGGTTTTACATGCCACCTCTGGCACACATGCCATAGATTTGCCATCACAGGCTTAGACTGTAGCAGGAGTGGGCAACTTTACGTCCCGTTCTCAGCATGGCGGGCTCAGGGATTCTGGGAATTTAAGTCCACAGGTTGCAAATTCATGTCATAGTTGCCCACTCCTGGATTGGAGACTACAAGAGGGTGTAATTCTGACAGCGTTTAGGGGGAAGTTAGAAAGAAGCTACGGATTAGCACCTCTCTCCCACAGATTTTCAAATGGCATGAGTTCTTAGAGCTAGCGTTTTCTTTGAGAGGTGTGATCAACCTGGTCAACTTGTTCTGATAGTTGTCATACTGATGGGTCTAACTCTGATTCTGCCTCTGCTGGTTTCTTGAGGTTGGGGGCTTCCCTACCACCTTGTCACTCTGTGATTTCCCCGCTCTGTGCACGTCCTTCAGAACTTCCCTTGCGATGTTCTCCTCTCCTAATCTTTGCTTTCCCCGTCTTTTCTCTTTCCTGCTCCTGTTAGGATTTGCTTCAGGTATATTCTTTCCCTTTTAACGCTATCCTCATCTGCCTCTTTCTCTCTCTGCATCTTGGTTGGTTAAAGCTGGCTCTCTTTCACCCTGGCTGCCTGATCTCGACTTAGATTTGCTGGTTCTCCATTCTTGGGCTGAAGCTTTTATTATTTATTTTGGCTTTTCCCCTTTTTTTCCCCTTGCGTTCTTTTTTGTTCTTCAAACTGAATGCAAATAGCACCAGCGCTTAGATTTATATAACCACTTCAAAGTACTTTTAGAGCCATCTCTAAGCGGTTTACAAAGTCAGCCTCTTGCCCCCAACAATCTGCATCCTCATTTACCAACCTTGGAAGGATGGAAGGCTGAGTCAATCTTGAACTGGTCAGGATCAAACTACTGGCAGTCGGCAGACTTAGCCTGCAATACTGCTTTCTAACCACTGTGTCACCATGGCCCTTCCTTCCTTCCTCCCTCCCTCCCTTCTTTCCTTCCTTCCTTCCTTCCTTCCTTCCTTCCTTCCTTCCTTCCTTCCTTCCTTCCTTCCTTCCTTCCTTCCTTCCTTCCTTCCTCCCTCCCTCCCTCCCTCCCTCCCTCCCTCCTTTCTTTAGCAGATAACACTTAGACTTATATGAAATGTTAAGTGGCCATTATTGCACATTTCCCAAAGCCTGGAAAAGTTTCATGTCCTGCGGATTTCAATTCTCAGCATGGCTGGCTTAGGAATCCTGGGAATTGAAGTCCCACAGGTCACAAATTTGTCATTGTGGCCCAGTCCTGTTTTGGAGACTACCATAGAGTGTAAAATTCTGCCAAACTTTAGGGAGGACTTGGGAAGAAGCTACGGACTGGCACCTCTTCCTTCCCCATGCCAGAGGCATGGCGACCGTCCCACAAGTTTTCCGAATACTCCATGGCATGAATCCTTAGAGCTTGCATTGGCAACTGTGCCAATGGTGTGAGACACCTCCCGCCCAACCCCCAACCCCAAATTGGTTCACTTCCTACCTTGTAAGGCTTCCGGAAACCACGAAAAATAAAGCTGCTGCAGTGACCCTTTCCGTCATAAATGCTACCGTTTGCATTGATCGCTTGTTGACGCCTTATTTTATGATTTGAGCCATGCTTTCAGGGATTGTGTTTTTTGTGTTGCAAAATTGCCGACCCTTTTATTGTGGGAGCCCCTCCGAGTGTCTTGATTGCAGCCATGAAAGGGAGGGGAAAATGATTGGGGCAGGGAGGGAAGAATTCCTGCTCCCTGTCGATAATTCTTCTTCTTTTCCTCCCCCCCCCCCCCCCCCCCCCGCCTCTATTTTTCTTTCAGTTTGGTGCTTTTGGTCATCCTTAATATGTTGCTGTTCTACAAGCTGTGGATGTTGGAATACACCACTCAGACTTTGACGGCATGGCAGGGGCTGCGCTTGCAGGAAAGGTAACCGATGCAGGCAGAGGATTCCGCTCTATGAGGAACAAGCTGAGACTGTCTTAACTACACTCCATGTACATGGGGACTCACAATGTCTTTCTTTCTTTCTTTCTTTCTTTCTTTCTTTCTTTCTTTCTTTCTTTCTTTCTTTCTTTCTTTCTTTCTTTCTT